GGTATTTAAAGACATGTAGATGTGGTGCTTAAGAGACATGATTTAGTGGTGGACTTGGCAGTGCTAGGTTAATGGTTGGACTTGATGATCTTAAAGGTCTCTTCCAACCTAAATGATTCTATGATTTTAAAGATCCTTTGGCTAAACAGTCAAATAACTGCATTCAAAACTCTGATCTGAGACAAACATTTCGTCTGTATCAGTTGTGAAGGACACTAACACTCCCATTACTCTCTAGCAAACAGACTCATAGTCAGTTGCACAGTTAGAGCAGAAAATATCGGGGTATGGAGAATCACACTCATCCAGGCTGCCCAAACATCCTGAACATTCCTAACTCGAAAACTGTAAGTACCATTGCAGCTGCACTCAATTTATCATTATTTTTTTTAGTAATAACACACTTAACAGTGAAGCCATACTCTATCTCAATTCATACCAAAAGTGAATTTGGTTAGCTTGTATAATAAATTCTTTTCTCATCTCAGTTACACTGTACTTCAATAATAGAAGTACTAGATTCAATTTCACTCATTAGTTCTCAAATTTTGAGAGCCACTTCATATATTTTATAGTGTATTTTCATCAAAATTTTAAAATCTAGAGACATCACTGCTGGTCTCAGGACTCAGTCTGCAAATGTCTTGCCTTCAAATGCTTAAGTTGAAGAACAGTATTTTAATGTGGGCAACATAATTAACTTTTTTTAAGATAAACATCGTTTTTTCTGCTCATAAAATACAATAAAATAATAAATACTGAGTCTATTTTGTAAACTCACTCTAAAAAGTTTAGCCATTCAGCATTGCAGTCAAGGACTAGCTGCTCCCGGAGCTGATTCAGATGTTTGTAATTTTCTATAATAAAAGGAGAGTGGAATCGGCTGACAGCTTTTGTGCTGGAAGACAGAGAAAAGCCAAATAGGAAATCAAGGTTACTAAGCAATCAGTTACACCATCTATATGCAAAATTGGACTAGTTTTCTTACTCTCTATGACCCTGGAAAACGGATGTTACAAAACCATTTTACTGTGGTACCAAAATCTATTTATGCCAATGATCTTTATCTGAATGCCAATGTGAATAAAGTGATTGGCTACTGTACCAATGCCCATTCAGAAAGCTACATTTTTCACAATGTAGTATGTATTGCTGAAGTTTATATATTTCTGTTCAGCAATACACTGCACAAGTGGATGACTTTTGTGTGACTGGTTGCATATATAATGAACTCCGAGAAAAAAATTCTTCTTTAAAACAGAAAATTTCATGATAAACCTAAAATAAACTTACTAAATACAGATTGTCTTGCATGGATACTAGTTTCCATTTGGGGCACTTGCTCTTTATTAATGTGTTTTCATTAAGGACTCACTTTGTCATTCCCAGGCATTCTTTTACAAAATCCAGATTAGCTGTAATTTTTCCTTCATCACCTTAATTCTGTCTAATCTTTTAATACTGAATTCTTGCCTAAGTGAATAGTACATTACTTCCAGCATTCACCTTGATTATGCCTATTTCTGATGAGAGATGTCTGTGCTTACACATTATAACATTAAGGTATTAAACCTGTTTAAATAATAAAACAAATGACTGAAAAGAAAAAAGCCAATTACATAATTCAGTCCACCTCTACCAGAAAAAGCATCCAAAACTATCAAAAGTCATGCTTACATAACACGAAGTAGCAAAGCAAGCAAGCAAAGCTTGTCTGTATGAATAAATAAAATGACATTTTAAATACACTAAGTTTATTGAGATGCACAGATATTTTGCACAGCTACCTTTACCTTCCTGAATAAGAACAATCAAAATTTTATGAAAGATTTTTATTTACAAACTACAGGCACAACTGAATCAAGAGCATAGTTTTGACACTAATACATGTACTTTGAAAGATTAAGCAAGTAATATAGTGCATTAAGGATCTACCATGTAAAAATAAACGTTTTAAAAATTCCAAGTTTTCAGTTTGATTTTGTTCGCTTTTAAGCAAAACTTGTTATGGCAATAAATTAACATAACAATTTTGGTTCGTTTGCTTTTCGGGTTAAAAAAATAATCAAACCACAAATACATACATGAAGCTATGAGAATGTGTATGTAATTAATTGTAAAACCAAAATACCACATACCACTTTTTTTTCTTATATAATAAAATAGAACAAACTTCAAAGACATTTTACATACCTACTAACCATAACCCAGTCAGATGGCACAGATGATTTCTGGGAATTCTTGACTTCTATCATAAACTAAATAAACAGAAATGTAATATTACACATTATGGAAAGTTAGGAAGGCTACAGAACCATAATCATCATAAATCAAGAAATCTGCATGCATCAGAGGAAAACCATATTTAGCCTGAAGAGACGGAGCAGACCAGAAGCTAATGTTCTTTCTCCCCCAGAAATGAGGGTTATGACATACACATTTTCTGCCAAAAGAGCAACCCCTACCCTGAGCTGTTCTTGTGCCCTACCACGTTGCTGCTGCCCTTCCATTCCTCCATCCACTAAGATGCTCTCCTCAACTCTCTCTTATCAAGCCAAAACCAGACTAAAGGTAGTAAGTCTTGCTTACCTGATCCTGACCAGGCCTTGCAAAGAATTCAGCATTTACATAGAGTCTACACTATATACCACCTGTACTGCGGCTACTCCTTATCACGGAGATGTGCCTTCCTGCCTAGGGATTAGTGATTCACACTGAGCCACAGTTACCTACAACATTTCACAGACAATAGCTCAGAATCTTAAGTGCTAGCACCATATCTACAGTAACTTGCTTCAAGTTTGGATCAACTTGGGGTCAGAAAGGGAAGGAACAGGGGAAACCAGCAGTAATGGCAAGAGGCTCAGTGCAGTGAAATTTACACTATGTGTTTGTTGCAGTATTTTATATGATTCATGTCAGTTATCTTTGTCAGACATCCAGCCTGAGGTCCTGGATGTCAAAGAATTGAGGCATTCACAAATAAAAGAATTCAGATGGAAAATGAATTTCTAGTAGAGATTACATTAACTCAGACTCTGATCACCTTTACAGAAAACCACAAACTCTCATCTGACAAAGTTTTCCCATTACAGTTTAGATACTGATTTAGATAAAACCTTCCACATCTCACCAGCATAGTCAGCAATCACCTTCGAGTACAAACAAGAAGCATAATCCTAACATGAGCACAAGACTCGTAGCAAGGACATACTGCACTAGTTCTTAATTTACCCAAGACACCATGAAAATATTTGGTACTGTAGAAACCCTGAAGTTGCATAATACACATGAGACAAGAAAACTGAAAATGGGTAGAAGCAGAGATCTGCAAAGAATTGAAAATGAGTCTGCTGCTGCTACTAGTGGCGTTGCTGTTGTGCTGCTATTACAGTTTTTTCTGAATTTTATCTCAAAATAATTACATATGCTGTGTTTACGAACGGAAGTCAGAAAATAATACCACATTAGTGTCTATGCTAGGTCACTAACTGAGCTCCAAACAGTCTAACTGACACAACCAGTTCAATTGCCTGGTTTGATTGTGTGGCTAGTGAGAACAAGTAGAGAGGTTGCAATCTTGTTCAAAAACATTTGCTTTTTCATCCTTTAATTCTTAGCCCTATTAGATAAATAATTGCAGTATTAAATAAACTGGGCCTGAAGCACTGCTTATGTCATTGCAGGAAGCAAACATTTGCCAAATGTAGCAATTTCTTTCTAAATCCTGCCTGAAAAGAATAGCAATGCTATCACTATCTGGACAGCTTTCTGTCCTGTTTAGCGCACATTACAAATTACATTAGAGCTCTGAAAACAAAAGATAAGATAGATACGGGTGTAACATATTTTGGAAAAGGTATATGTCAACTGGATCTTAATCAGGAACTTAACAAATGTAAGTTAATAAACTGTGGGCTGACTGAAAATCTGTGTATTCATAATCATGGGTTTGGGGGCACATATGAAGGAGCAAATAGTTTGATTTATTTCCTCCCCCTCGCCCCCAAGAAGGTCTGTTCCCTGAACATGTTCAGAGTGGGGAAGATACATAGAACAAGCTCCTGTTTCTTCCAGAACTAGCAAACCATAAAGCTGCTTCTGCCCAGGTCTGTTGTGAAGAAGTGCTTGAACACTACATCTATCAGAGTGCTACAACGATGTAAGAATATACCATACAGATCTGAGGAAGAAAGAGCTCAAATCTTGTTATGCCTATGCTCTGCTTCTCCCATACAATTCCCTTTCCATTACTTCCAGTCCTTTAGTGTCTTTCCTTTCCTCACTGACCATCTCCTCTAACCCTTCTTCTACTGCCTCTTTTGATATCTCTAAAATACTCATACCAGCTGTAATTAAATACAGAGATCCATAACCTCTGCAGCTCCTTTCATCAATTTACCAAGACAGATTTCTGTCTGCAATGGTTTCTGAGCCATCCCCTATTATACAGGCCCTCTCTCAAATGTGTGTGTAGTGACTGGTGGTTTCTGAAAGTCTCCTGTCCAGTTCACACCTGACTACTTCCTCCGATCCTCTCCTATCTTTGATTAATTATTCTCTTCTTTCCTTCACGCATGTGTCATCATCCACCTCTTAAACCAGCCTCTCTGAGAGAAAACTTTCAAATTCATGCTCTTCCCTTCCTCACACAATACTCAAATGCACTCTTCCACATTTTCTCTTAGACTTCAGCATCCTTGCTGACAGTCTCCCCAACTCTTTAACCACATGTTTCCTATTCTCAACCTCATCATCAAAAGAAGTATCCACTTCAGGTCTTTATCAAATGCTGCTCTCTCTAATTCATCCCTTCTCACATCCTCTCTCACTTTCAGCATCGCCTGTCTGCTCCCTGCTGTGTCTCTTGGGTCTTTCCCAGCTTCCTAGATCCTCAATGGGACAGTGGGCTGCTTCCAGCTTCTTCTCTCCCTGTCCTCATTGATTCACCTCTTTTACTCCCAACTCTCACACAATTTCTGAACTCCTTTCTTCTCCCAGTTTTCTGTGGAGTTTTCCCCAGGCTTCCTACTCTCACTTCCCAAAGGACAATGCTGAACAGTGCTACCTCATTGCTCCTTTCAGTTCCCCAAAAATCTGGCAGGATCTGTCGTCTCTTTTTTTTTTTTTTTTTCCACTGAACTTCTCAGCTCATTGGAGCACAGCCTGCCCACATTTGCACAGCATCTAGCAAACAACAGCTACAGTCCACAACCAGTGTTTCTCAGAATTAAAAGTAAGATGACATTTATCATTCTTCAATACTGTTCCTTTTTTCTCCCATCTTTCAAATTATAGTCTGAATCAGTACTTACAAATCATTTTACCATTCTTCAAAATTAACCTAAAGCTGTACTTCCTGTTTTTCTGAGAATATTTCAGGACTTAATAGCCACATAATTAACCTTGGAAGTATGCAAGTGCTTTTACATATACAAAAAAAGAAAACATTACTGAATGAAATTCAATTGCACTAATGTGGTTTTATTATTTAAATCACTAAAGTAATTGACTTAAATAACAGTGTCACAGTGTCTCAAAAACATTCTTTAAAGTTGTGCAAATATAGTCAAATGACCTCATCAAGTACCATACTCATGAAGAGAGTTCTAAAAGCCTAACTTTTAAGCTATTTTCTAGACAAGCAAGGGTACAGTCATACATAATAGATACCATATTACCTCTTGACCAGAAACTGTAACGTACTCTGCAGAAGAATTCTTAATCTGTTTACGAATGTCCAGCAGATGCAATTGGATTTTAGAAAGCACATCCAGGATCTCCTCCTTTTTCTTTCTGATGACAGGGAAGTCTGTAAGGTCCTTGAACAACTGGGTTTTGTCTCCAGTCCTATCCATAAGCAGCATAAGATGAAATAATGGTAAAACCAAAGACATGTTCCCCGGTTCTACTGCGTCGATATTTTTATTTGCTATTCTCATTTATTTGTTATTCTCATTTATTTCGACACTAGCTTCACTCCCCTCTAAATACAGCTTTTCTGTTATTTGGTCATAGTATGGCATGTTTACCAAAAGCTGCCATACACACTCCATAAATAGAAAGTAACTTTGTATACAAACTCTAAGAGGCTACACCAAGATAGCCCCCTCCCCAATGTATTCAAAACCAATCTATTCTTGTTCCTTTCTACTCTATCACATTATGCTTGCTCTTCTATACCAAACCCTGCTACCTCAATTTTTTTGTTGTCTCTCAATGTGCATCCTGCAGATTTTTGTTTGTTCTCCCTCGACTGACCAGAGCAAGAAAAGGAAGCACAAGAAAGATTGTTCCCTTCTGGTTCAATCCGTAATTCTGGAATCCAATTGCTGCCCCAACTCGGAGCATCCCAGGTGCCAACAACATCTTTATCATGATTAAATGTGAAGCTGTAGATAATTTCTGCATAACGTGAACACAGATTTTTGACATATTTAGAATTTGGCCAAATTTGGGCAGATTTTCATGAGGATTATGAAGAAAAATCCATCTCACATGGCTTTCATCACAGCAGAATGTCATCAGGAGTTTCTCAGAGTAGCTTCCTTCTTTTCTCAAGAAAAGATTAACCAGAGCATTTTTTAATACATGCAAAAAATTGCTCTTTTCTAGTCTCAAAGTCAGAAAATGACAGAATTGTTTTGGCTGTACTATCTCAGCTCAGGACTGAAACCTGAAACAGACAATGCCATTCAAATGTTTAAAACTGGGAAGCTGAACTAGCTATTAAAAATACAGTTGTCATCAAAAATTACAAAAATTTAAATTACCCTAATAAATATCATGCAAACAATAAAAAGTAGTGCAATCAGCCCTAAATTAATTGGAATATACATTTGTATTTTAGAGCAAATACAAAACTATACCAATTAACTAGATAGTTACCTTGAAATGTACTATTTGGAGAGCAAGTAGTTAGCAAACTGAAAGTAATAAACCATAGAAGTAATAGAAAGTCTGATATTCTACCTACTCCAATACCCCTTTGCCTGAGAATGAAACCACAACTGGAGCCAGTGATGACACAGGTAACACAAAGCTGTGCTTTGATTTTGCATTACATAGACATAGCTGTTATATAAGTGACAGTAAAGATGCCATTTGAAAATATAATGCTAAATTTTAGAAACTATTTTGTGCTAATTAGACCTGTTTCCATGGGAATGCAAGTAAAAAAAAGATCACTAGTAGCCAGCAGCTGATTATGAAGACTGTCACTGCTATGCGATGCCTACCAAAAATTTTAAAGTTGACAGTGTTAAAAAACGCCACAAACCCCAAAATCTCGAACTCCTCCTAAAAAAACCTGGAGCAGAGGGATACTTTTGAAAACCACTTCAAAAAAACCCACACCACATAATAAAAACAACACGATGCAGTATACATATATGTGCGCAAATGTGTGTGTGCACATGTATGTTTATAAGTAGTTGTCACGATTTCAATGAAAGGAAGGTTTTTGAGTACAAATAATATTGCCACACAAGTTTGAGACATATAAAGGCCAAAAGGTAAATTATTTTTGTCCTCTTGAATAAATGCAAATAAAATAGATGCAATCTGCAGATCAATGATGATATCTTCTACTTATACTATTGTACCTTATTTTTGTATACTATTCCAGTCATCATCAACACAGCGACAGAAAAAACCCATTTTTTAATCCTACCTACAGTAAATCTGGTGTAATGAAGATACAGCCTGTTTTGTCATAAACTGCCACAACTACAGCTGGATATCATGCATCAGCAGAAATCTCATAATCCCACCTGTCCAATGGGCATAGGAAATATTTCTACCCTTCTCAACTTCTAAATTTATACACCTTGCATCTGTTTCTAATTCAGAAGCAAATAAAGTTCTAGGCTTTAATTCTTAAATTTCTTTAATTTTAAATCTCAGTTGGAGAAAGATAAAAAAGATTTTATAAATAAATCGGAAGTTTATTTTTAGCTGCCCCCATATAACTACACACTAAAATATATACCACATCTTTCATCAAAGAATCTCTAGGTAAATCACAGTCAATTACATCTCATAATATTACACATGAGGAAATATTCAAAGTTAAATGAAACTTGCTCATAGCAGGGAAGTTTAAGATGATCTAGATGATACTCATTTTGTGTTCTGAATGTCCTCTCAACATGTTGTGTAAACAAAAACTACACTGAAAGGAGACCAAAAACCTGCAAAGTCAAGTGCTCAGAAAGGTTGGCTGTGCAAGCCAGACAGACTGCCTCTGTGCCTAGCACCATGACAGAACCCTTTTTAGAAGATTTTGTACTGCTTTTTTTAATGAAAGACAGTGACTTTTACTGGCCACAAGGTATTCCTCCTAAATCTTGTCCCCTAACAGGTTTTTTAACACATCCCTCCCTTACAGAACTCATGTTCTTGCTTTACTCTTCTGCATTTTAAGACTCGTGCCTTCTTCCTGTGGTTAAAACTAGGATCTATGGCTAACAATGGAGGCAGCAGTTCTTCAGAAGAAATAGTACTCAACAAATTTTTTAAAGATACTCTCCCTTATAATGCATATTTATTCCAATTTAGCATCTGCTTCCTTTGTCTACAATTTTTTTCATGCACCAACAAAGGATGGAATTAAGATAAAAAAGGGCAGACAGCCTCCACAATTTCAGCTCATCTCTCCAAGACTACAGGAAAGCAACTGCAGGGAAAAGCCTGATCACACCCAGAGCCTGAGGTAGGTGCTTGTTTAGTCATTCTCTAGGAGGAGTCCATGAGCAGGGCACTAACCCCAGAAATGCTCTGAGGGGGTACAAATCACACAGGCTACATGGAATCTGCGGAACTATTGAACTTCATAATCTCTGTCGTTAGTGAGCATGTAAATATATTTTTAAGAAAGGATAGAGGAGTATTCAAAGCTTTGATGACTTTTCAGAAAAATAGTAAAAGGCATATTCCTGACAGCAAAGCAGCCACTCTGCTAAGGTCAAGTCTCTCTTCAAAAGGAATAGCTTCTCTATTTAAAAAATTAATTTCAAAAGTTGTTAAACAAATTAACATGAGCAAAACATATTTTGCTCTACATTCATTCCGCAAAGCAGCTGAAAAACTCAAAAAATTATTCAGCCTGAGGCAGACACCCATTAGGCAAAATACTTGCTTGCCTAGTTTAACCTTAAAAGAAGAATAAAAGCTGTAGAAAACCACAACCTCTGATTTAACTATAAGCAAATATACATACATAAATATACAACATGTATATTTATATGTAAATATGTACATACATAAATATAAAACAAAAAATAGAAAGCTAAGATGTGTTAAAACAAGATGTGTCATTCACATAATACATTTAGTCAGCGAGCCTATGAGGCATGGAAGATTTATCTATTTTCTCTACTTACTTGGCTGCTTCTTCATTAAGGATCTTTAAATAATGTTTTACTGGAGAAAGAAGTTCTGGGATTTCCAACAATGCATTTTGTAATAGAGGAGTTTTCACATGAGAATGTATAACTGGAACAAGAGCTTGAATTTCCACATCCAGACGAGACAGGGTGCTGACTATCAAGAAGAACTCTTGGGTTGAGCACTGAGAAGGGAAGCAATGTCTAAATCATTATAGTGTAGTATATGTTCATTAAATCCTACAGGGTTATTTTGCTTTTTGAAAATGAGACAAAATACAGTTAAAATGAATGAACTGTAACACAATTGCATAATCTTATCATCTTCATGAGGTTAATAAAGCATGCTAATTGTTTTAACCGTTGTTGTTAACGATCAGTTGAGAGCTGATCTACATTATTACTGCTGCTGGATGGAGGGGTGTAACCTGCTGGATGGAGGTGTGTAACACATATGCAGCAGAAAAATGGGCTAATAATGTGCAAAAAGCAAAAAAGCAGGTTGAGTAATTTTATGGTACCACTACTTGTCCATATGGACCTGTGCATCTATGTGCTGTTATCTGAATCCCCAGGCTGCTGTTTTGGCAAGATGAGGTTTGGAAAGACAAGGTCAGGCACAGACAGGGGGAGTCTTGGAACAAGAACACAGAAAAGAAAAGAAAAAAAGCCCACAGAAAGAGAAAACCAGCAGTCACTGCTTAAAGTGCTTGTAGCTATTGCCAGCTTCAGCCTCTGGCTGGTTACTCCCAGGTCTATGTGACGAGAAGACTAAGGAAAACACACTAACGCGGTCTTTGTCTTTCATCCTCTCCTCACTACAGAGTTCTGAAAGAGATTTTTCTGTTTCAGGCAGATAGCCAGGGTATCATCGAAAGGGAATCTCCCAGATTGGAGCCAATAGCACACAGCACTTTTCGAGCTTGCTTCATGATATCCACAGCATAGGAGCATATTGGTTCCCTTAAAGCAGCTTCTCACCAAAAGCAGTGAAACGCTTCTCTCTCTCTTCTTTAACTATTAATATTACTTCTGATGTGGCTCAAATATTTTGCTGTTAGATTCCAGACACTCTTCAACTTCAGCACAGTTTGCTCATTTTCAAGGTCTAGTCAGGATTTTGCAAGCAGTTAACAACTCTAACAGAACATTCTACCTCCTGCCACACTCCTAATCCTCTCCACTCAGTTGTCCCATTCAACTCTCAGTTACCTACGGAACTTGTGCCCCACCTATAAATTAGGTAATACTGATAACGTAATGGTCTTTACAGACGTAAGTTTGCATTTGTGCTACACCATATTTGCATACCAAATGTAAACCTGGTCCTATGAGACACTTAATGCCTTCAAATCCTGCTGAATTCAGTGGCACTCCAGGACATTTCCATTTCAGAAGGTTTGAAAAAAAGTTGCCCATAAATAATTATGCTGATATTTTTTCGTATTTTACTGATCTGTAGAAACATTCCTCCTTCAGTCTTCTGAACTTCTCCCATCAGTCAACTGGCAACACTGAAAAGGCATTTATTTTCCTCACCTAAGGATGCAAGGAAGGAGCAGGATATACTGAATGCTTCTACTATAATATTCTTCGTATGTCACATTTGTTGCATCCTTCTCTTCCTACTATTTTTCTCTCTCCTACCCACGCAACATACAGTCTAGAAATTAATTTCTGGTCAGTGTTTTGTGGTGATCAGCACAACACTGATTACAGAACATGTAGGCTTCAATGAATCATTATTTCATAAAACACATCTACATTTTTATTTTGTCATCCCTTCTCTTTCAGTTTCTCCCTAGAGGTGAACTTTTGTTTCTCTTTCCTTCCCACACCCTTATGCAAGAACTAAGACAATTCTCTCATCAATTACACTGTAGTTATTTCTCCCAAAAATTCACTGTAGTTATTTCTGTTCCCAAACACAGAAGCAAATATTAACAAAAATGCTGGACTGGAAAGGAACATTTTCTCTCCCTCCCTACATATGTAAACCATAAAGTAAGTTTGCTCTGTAATACCTACTAGCCCTTCAGAACGTGAAGACTGTCAAAATGCAACCTTCTGAAAACCATAAAAAATAAATTAAGGTACACTCCAGTTACAGCCTTAGCCCTCTTCTCATTAAATATATGCCACTACTGTGACCAGGCATGGAAGAGTAGCCTCCATGCTATATAAATACAGAATAAAGATACATATAAACCTGCAGCCTCAGCAATGTACTATGAATGGACAACAATAAGGCTAGAAAGAAAATAATTTATAAGGTTAATTGCTGTGTTCACTGATTTGCTCTATGATAAAGGCTATATTAAACAAAAATCAGAGAAATTTAATTCCTGGTCATTCAAAATGTATTCAATCACATGAGTAAACGTAACTGAAGTTATCATAAAGCCAGTATCTGTTAGATACTCTCCAACTCACCTGAAACATGGCTGCGCGCTGAAGAACTGAACTTGTCATACCAAACAGGCAAGATTGGTAGATACTTGACTAAAGGAAGACGCGATTTAACCATGATATTTCGTGACATTCGGGAAGGCCAGAGAGATTACATTCTGAATGTTCCTGGAAAATCTAAGTTCATCTTTGTTTCAGATCCATGGAAATCAGGGATAGAAGAGACCCATTAGGTAACTTCCCTGCAACTGTTCAATTTTTATGCACGAGTTTTCTGTCTACTCTCAGGCCCTTATATTCCAAGAAACCATGTGCTTACCACTTCCTTTCACAAACAAATCCATAAAGCAGTATCATCATGTAAAAGGTTTACCCAATAGCCTAAATTTCCCTTCCATTAAATTAATCCAAATATCTATAGTTTTATTCTTTTGTATTACACTAACTCAACTCCCTCTTTGCAGTTAACACCTTTCAAATATCTCTAAACCTTCTGTTCTCCTTTAATCAATTTAACCGAACTATAATCTTTTAATCTTTCCTCATAAACCATCCATTATTCAGTCTCATGAAAACTTTGGTTCTCCCCTGCACTTCCTGCAATTTATCAACATCTTTCTGATAATCTGGAACTTACTTATTCTATCTTGTAAAAGCTCTGACAACAAAATAAAATAATAAAGTAGTAAATCTGTCAACGGCATTTGAAGTCAAAGTACAAAGGAAAGGTCTGAAAGACTAAACAAATGATAAATACAATCTTGGGACTCAAAGTAAAATACAGTATGACTGGCTGCATCATCATCATCAACCTTGATGCAGATAAAGGATAAATTCTGCAAGACTTCCCTTGACTACAAAATGTACTCAAAGAGCAAAGGCTGAAGCCCTGCCACACAAAATTGCAAGGTAGGTCCCTGACAGACAGCATTAAGTGATTTATAGGAGAACAATGTCCAGAAAAGATGAATGAGCAAATATGGACAGTAAGAAATACATCAGCTGAACCGGTGGTGTTTGTTGGGCTTTTTGTTAGATTGTTCTTTAGAAAAAAAGCCAAATAGGGACTTCATTAGTACACTATCTATATAAGGGTGGGAAAAGGAAGAAATTTTACAAATACGTAAGAACACCTGTCCGAGGTGTTCTTCAACAAGGGTGGTGAGGCTGGTGAAGGTGAGGCTTCAATAAGGGGAGGAAGCTAGGTTTCAAGGCAGTGTCACCTATAAAAGAATTAGCAGAGGCCCCCCCCCAATCAACTTGGTTGTGTACAAAAGATACTGTAAACAACCCTGAAAGTAATCATGAGATTTCTCAAAGGATGCTTAGTGAACATGCTGAAGCTTCTCACAGCAACTCTGATAGTCTATACAACATAATAGTCATCTAAACAACCTGTTTAATTTTACTGTGACCTACAGTCTACAGTACCTTTGGAGAATGGGAAATTCAGCATGCTTTACTGCAAAAAGCTTTGTTAAACACAACATTCCCAAGAAAGAGGGTGAACGTACCTCTTTGGTGCTTATTCAGAGTATTACTGTTTCCCCTGGCTTGATTTTAGTAACACTACAGGACTTTGCATCTAAAATTTAATGGCTGAAGAAATAATTTACTAAGCAAAGAGATATCTTGGAACAGATGCATAAAAGTAACTCTGAAAAGCTGGGCTCTATTAAAGTGGGACTGATTCCATTTAAGTCCTAAGTAACCTTATAAAAGATATCTAACTGTGTTATAAATCAGAAGCTTCTAAAATACAGTAAAAATGGTTTACATAAAGCAGGATTAATAGTCTTGAATTCACAGAAGATTCTCACAAGCTTATTCAATGCTATTTTTGAAGTCTAATTTTGTCAATGATAGCTATAGCTTCTCTGGCATTAGAAAAAAATAACCTCAGAGTTGACAGTGTTGCCAAACAATAGTTTCAACCAGCAGTTTGTAAAACTGTACTGAAAACGGTATGGCTGCCACTGAGAACGCACAAAAAATGCACAGTCGTACGCCAGGTCTAACACCCTTTCAGCAACACTGAACACAATTTAGCTTCATTTACATTGGGAAATTGTTTCTAACAGATCTAAAAGGGAGCCACAAAGACCCACAGCTCACAGCCATTGACCACTCCAAGTTAAAAGCATTTCAAAAAACAACAAGGGAGTTGAAATGCAGCATACGTTTATCACTCCTTTCAAACTGTAATAACTACCTTTATGCTTTTAGTATAGTGAGCATACTATTTTTTTGGTTTAGGAAAAATGAGGTGTTCAATTTTAAGGTTACTGTGTCCCCTTGTTATGACACTGTTTATATTAATTAGCCTAATGGAGAACAATTTGCTCAAATCAGCATTTAGTGCTGCAAATCTAAAAATATCTGTGATGCAATTTCTTTAAAAGATTAAAAGTATAGTGTATATATAAGATGTGCACAGTGCTATCACAGAACAAAAAATGTAAAAAAATAAGATATATGTTAGCTGAAGTCAATAATGTATTATGCTATGGAGGAAATTTATTTTAAACATTCTGTACAAACAGTAACTAATTTCCTGGGCATATATAACAGGTAGTGATTTCACAAGGCGAAAAAAAAATCAGAAATACAACTTTTCTCTGAGTCTTCTGAAAATCATATAATCTTCAATGAAGTATCAAACATACCTTCCAGGGAAGGGCACATTTTCAGCATCATTCTGGTTCACAAGCTTATGTGAAAGATTTTGAATACTTAACACTGAGCTGAGCAGCACCCTTCTCCTCTGAGAAGTCTGAGCATGACAGTGAAGTAGTGAAGTATTCACTGGAAAACTGAAAGGCAAATCCCACAAGGAGGCTGTAGGCAGCCAAGCAGCAAATACTCCCGTGGTAGCAACTGCCTGCTTTATTTTGTACAGGCGAGCAGCCTGGTAAGTGGGCAGCAAAGTTTTAGAGACTGATTCAGAACTGAGCAGCAGCTTGTGAGGAACTCCAGATGAGGGAGAGCTCCTCAAAGTTAGGAGCAGAACAAACCGAAATGACATTTTACCACATGCCCTGGTAAGGTTTGATTATTGACCTCACTCCTTGTGTAGGAGTTCAGTGAAACAGCTTCGCTATCATGTGTTCTGTACATTTAATAACGATTTGTTATGCTGATTCCTGTCCACTTTGTTGACTGAGCTTTAGTCAAAAAATAATGTTTATTGAGCAAAGGATACAAATAAAATAAACATTTATGGATCAAGCCTGTATAAATATTTATCTTCTGAAACACACTGCATGAAACCAGGCATGAAAACAGCAAGTAACATCAGAATGGCCCTGCAGGACACATTTCTAAAAGTACTGATGGCATGTTTAGTCTGTATTGTTTTTTAGACATACTCAAGCATGGGTCTCTGACAGCTCTCTTGCTGTTCTGGGCACTCCAAGGCAAGGCTAAGCAGTCATCTCTTTGAGACAAAAAAGGTAGTGTCCTGCCATTCATATTTCGCACTGTCCTGACATGCAGACCACAAAAGGAAATGCATGTGGCCTAAATTTTGTTCCTTTATTTGGTAGCTCCCTCCAGGGGCTAAGGGCATGGCTGAACTGGTTATGGAAAACATTGAGCCAACGTGTCTTCCAGCAAGATCTAATTCTGCATCAGCTGCAGGCACTATTTAGACCAAATATTTGACAATTCCCTCTCAGTTTCCTGTTAACTTCCGAATGCTACCAAGAAGTCTTCAAACAGCTTATCTCCAGCCATCCTTCTCTTGTTATATTCTGCTGTTGACAGCGTTTCTGCCTGGAAACATGTCAGGTGCTGGAGCTGCAGGAACTGTGAAGAACAATCAGTCCTTGTATTAATTCCACTCTCCATAGCAACAGTAGCATTGCTCTTGTCTCCTTAACCACACTCACGTTCTTTTCCAGGCTGGGGCAAACTCGGAGCTGGTAATATGACCTCCAACATTAATATCTAATTCTCATTACAAGAATGCTGTTCTAATTCCAGATTGCTTACACCTGATTTTGGTTGTTTGGGGTAATGGGAACTTATGGAGGGTGAGATTAACAACTGCCAATTTGAATGACGCTACCAGATAAGAATCATTAGCAGACTTATTAAAAAAAAAGTAATAGATCAGGAAAATATACAACGATGCTATTTACCAGAAGAACTCCCATAAGGATGCTTTGCCTTGCAAAGTCAGTTCCAAAATACAGCATTGTTTTGCCTTAATTTTTTTTTTCTTTCTCCTCTAGAAGTTACTAGTGCAAAGTGTATTGCATGATAAAAGTTCTGCAGTGCCTGATATGCATGAAAGATATTTGAAATGACTGACACAATCCAGCCACCTCTGTACACTTCTGGTCTCCCTTTGCAAAACATTCCTCCTCAAATACTAATGTCACTGAAGTCTAAAGGACCTGAAGGATGAAATACTTGTCGTATTCACCTATTTTTCCTGCAGCTGGCACTGAATTAACAAGCCTGCATTACAGCATATTCCTTTAGTTAAGCCATTAGTGTGCGTCACTCAGAGTTTTGGAACCCTTATTGGGAATGAAATTGCAGGGAACCTCATTTTGAGCGTGTGGGAGATGGACATCTGGAATTAACAGAACTGGAAAGGCTCCTAGTGGAACTGAAATGGCAG